GAACAACAACAACAACAACAACAACAACAACAACAACAACAACAACAATAATAATAATAATAATAATAATATGAAATCTCAATTCCTGTCATTGTGCAATGGCCATTTGAAGAAGCAATAGTTTTTTCCAAGCTAAAAGTCTTTTTCAGTGGACTCTGATTGCTTGCTCATTCCCCAGCAATAATGGTAAGGGAATTAAGTGCTGTTTCACACGTTCATTCCTACGCTACAGGAATGCATCTGTGGAAGATAACTGAGTCTCATCCGCCATTGGGATGCATTTAGTACATGTGATAGAACCAGTGTTGTAGTGAAGCTGGGGCTCACAGGGTCAAACCCTTGAGACCTTTGGATTGGCAGAGTCAATGAAGTCATTGGCCACTCCTTTCAGACTTTTCTGTTCCCAATGAGTTCAGCTGCTATGCTCAAGCTTGCTTTCTGGGGGAGGGGGGGCTACAGTGGATTTTATCAGCAACAATATATTGTTGTGAACAATCGCTGTTGCATTGCAAAGGATCTGGGACGACTAGGACTTGAACAGGCAATTAAGACCTGCTATCTTTACAAATAATGTGTTCCTTGTAGAGATTAAAAACTGCTAGAACCAGTTTGTTGATGCTGAATTAAACCATTGCTCTTTCTTTCTGGGAAAAGAAGCTCTTGAGGGATCTTAAGCTGGTAGTCTTATGGTACCTGGGGGCAGTTTGTGTCCTTTTGTTGAGCTTTCCTGTATCATCTCAGGCCTCTCCAGTCAAAGCCCAAGCAGTCAGCTATGTTGTCCTTTGCCACTTCATTCAACTATGGTTGCCATCTAATCTAAGGAATGAAGTATTATACTTACTGTGGCGGTCTGTTATCTTTCAAGGAACCTGATCGCTTGCCATCTTCTCACATCCCCAATGATTTAACAGACCACACCTACCCAGTTTGTATACTGTATCGCAAAAGTTAGAGAGAGAGAGAGAGAGAGAGAGAGAGATGTGGATTGACCCAACTGCTTGCATTCTTGGATCTACCTATAAAGACTATAACAATTAGCACCTATACTTCAAAACTAACCACAACACCACTGGGTAGGATGCAATTAGATGCAATGCTCCTTTCCAGATGTTTAGGTGGTAACTCTATGTTTGGATTCAGAAGTTCCAATCTTTTATTGCTGATGTCACATGGTAAGTTTTTCATACAACAGCAAAACAGAATTTATTACTGTCATATGACTCATACAGAAAAGGTATACAGTAAAATAATGGGAGGGACTGCAGGAAGATGGGTATATTGAGAGATTAGGTGATTGGAACGAACTCCACCCTCTTACACATTGCAGCTAGGAAAAACCTTGCCACCTGTGCAGTGATGTAAGGGTTTTGGTCTGATAAACAGTATTCTACTAACCAACTGGAAGGGTAGCCTTGCAACTTGTACAGCAGTGGGCGGATTAGGTTATTCCTGATTTGTTCATAAAACAGGCAGTATAAAAGTGTATCTGTCAGAAATTCAGGGGATCTTTTTCTACGGCAGAATCTTTCTTGGTGCGGGATTCCCTTAAGTCTGCCCTGAAGAAGGGCTGAGGGCAGCACATTCAGTCTAGCCAGCATAAATGCTCTACAGACCTGCGGTGAGCAGAGTGAGGTAAGGTAGTCTGCAGGGGTGACAGAGGGGAGCACGTCCTGTTTGCCTGGGCAAAGAGTTCCTGCTTTTCAATGTCCTGTAGCCTCTGAGTGAAAGCTCTTGGATGAAAGATTGCCACTGACTATGATGAGAATCGAGTAGCACATAGTGCATGTGTCCCAGCTGATCTGCTGAGAAAAGTAATCTAAGCCAGTACTTTAGGGTCAGAGTCCAAGCGTTAGTTTTTTTAAAACATTCTGTAATTCCAGCAATTATTGTATGTACAGAGTTTTGAACCTAATGTTTAAAACATTCCTTCAACCAATCAATACTTAAGGGCTGAGCAAAAGGTTGAATGCAAAAGGTTGCCAATGAGAATGAACTAAACCTAAGGATTTTATGCACCTCCCTTTGACAAGATGGTAACACAGAACTCCCTGCTTTCTTGCCACTCGCCTAGTTGTATATGAAGTGAAAACCAGAATTGTCCATTGCCATTAAATTTCACTTAAAGTTAAGATTAAGATAAATTTGGTGGTGTTTGCTAAGTAACAAAACATACAAGGCATTTCAGATAACAGAAGGAAATTTTATAAGACAGATAAAATTTCTTGGGGGAGGCATAGTACATCATTGCATGCAACAGAGATTTTTTGAAAAAATGTAAGGTTTGTTTGTTTATTTAAAGGTAAAATTAGGCTTTCTTCTTCTCATTTATTCTCAGAGTGTAGGACTTGTTGAACAAACTCCAAGCAGTGAGCAAATCTCATGAGACCTGGAACAAGAATTGCCAGTTCATTTTGCATTCTTTTTTTCTGCAGGAAAAGAAACAGAACCGTATTTGAAGGGGAAGAGAAAAATATACAAAGAAGTAAGCGAACGAGTTTCACAAGAGGAGTGACATTTCTCAGGAGGGTTCTACAGAATCCTAATTGCAACACACAGGAAACATGGAGGCAATGAAGAAGTGGCGTGATGAAGTGGCCTTCACCAACTCTTTCTGGCAGAAGGTACAATGTCTGTGCACAGCTCCTGTCCGTTTCAGTAATATCACTGATGGACTGGGGCATTCTTTACCTTCTCCCTAGATCTCAAAAAAGAAAAAGGAAAGAAAAAGACAGGTGCAATTTATTGACAGCTAAATGCCAGAAACCTGCCTCTACTCTCCCCTCGTGTGTTATGCAAAACAGTCTCCTACATACCATAACCTTTGTGGAACGGAACTAAAATACTGTAGTCATTAAAGCTCACTGAATTTGATGCTAGAGAAAGACAACCAGGCTTACACCGGCTTAATGGTTAACTGGATGGCGATGTGGTGGTAACCTGTTGTCCTTTCCTCTGTAGGGCCAACAACAAAATTCGAGGGTGTGGTGTGTTGGAGAGGTAGATTGGGAGGGGGAAAACAAGGTAAAGAAAAAGAAACAAAGCTGCTCCCTCGGTCCCCCTTGAAGACTTGCAGGGTCGACAGCTGTTTTTGGTGACAGATCAAACAAAGCCCCTCCCCATAGAGTTCATGTAACGTGCCATCTGAAATCTGTCACAGGTACCTGTTGTTCCGCCTTCTCGCTGCAAATAAGGCTGCTATCCTGTGCGCACTTACCTGGCATTAAACTCAGCAACACACAGTGAGGTTTACCTTTTAAAGTGAATGTGCACAAGTTTATGGAACATAGGGAAGCAAGCGATTTGCTTCGGGAATCAACCCCGATCTGCTCGCAAACATTGCCCTTCCAGAGACGAAAGATCTGATCACGCATCTCGAGCCTCGGATCTGTTCGGGCCCGAAGAGATGAAAATAGTGGCTATGAGAAATCTATGGAAGTCAGCCTAGTGCACCGGGCCATCTCTTTCCACGATGACAAGGGTTGACTGCGCGTTTGGTAACAGAACAAAAAGGAGGTTTAAGGGCCGGCTGCAGCCTCAACCCTCTCTCTCCCCCCCCCCCCTACTTCCCTCCCCTCCTGTTTGTCCTTGGCCAGCCACTTTG